AAAGCGTACGAAAACAACTGGCTTGTTAGAACTGATCCTAAGGTGTGTGTTCACATGTTCTGCTCAGTTTTCGTTCAGTCAGAACAATGAAAATGAATATATAATATTTGAACAATCCTCAAACATGGTTGTCGGCTGGAAATGAATCAGAATGATGTTGAGTGAAAGAACTATGCTGGTTCAATGAAAGGCCATTGAACTTGCCATTTACTCAACTTCATCTAGAACGTGTTTCGTTCTAATCTTATTTATTTGCTCCAACGAGGCCATTTCCAATTGTTATTGTTATTATTTGAGACTTATAATTATTATTTCGCACTAGGATGTGGCTCGTGTAGAGAGTAAAACGTGGATCATAACTCCAGACAAGTATCAAACAGTCTGTCATACTCCAGCTGGTGTTGATCCAATCATGGGACATTGGATGGATCCGAAACAATTCGAAACCGAACTCGACTCAAGATTTCCGGGATGTATGAATGGTAAGACCGCGGAACAGTTGAGATCAATTGTCCGGTCTCAAAGATACACATGACATTAATAGACTCCAGTTATTATACATAAGAGGTTCTATTTGTGAGTAACTTTCGGCTATTTCAATGGGAAGAGAAGAAGCCTTGCCAGGGTGATTGCAAGATGATAGAGAGAATGAAAAGGGTACCAGAGGATCTAACTGCCTTGTTACTGTTTGAAGCTGACCATATTCCACCTTATGCTAATGAAATCTTATTGAAGGACGTACGATGTATGTTCTTCCATACTCAATGGGACCGGTTGGCGGACCAATCTCGAAGAATGCCGTTCAGGTTTGTTTTGATTGTGCTTTGTGGTTTATCTGTCTTCATTTCTAAAACTCATTTGACTCAGTTCCTTTAGTATGGACCACATTTTTCAGCCATAATCCGCCGAATCAGTATTCAGTTCCGAATTTCATTCCTTAAGATCTAGTAGTGACAAAAATCTCGTAATCTCGTAAAACATTTGATGATCGTAACATAAATGAGGTAATTATGTGAAAAAAACTTAGAATATCGAAGAGTAATTAAAATCTCAATGAAGAAAACACTAGCAATAAGGCTTCCGAAAAGTACTATAAACGTTATTGAATTCTAGCTGACCGACTCGGCGTATGTCGTTATGTGTATGATCATCATGACGCGTGTCTCGTTGGA